GTGGTAAGTGCGCGGTCAAAATGAAATAGGTGCAAACGTTCCTTGAAAGTGCTCAGAACGGTGCAAGCTCACAACACCGCTCCCAACTCTTGGGTGAAACATTAGATTGGAATATTTAATACTTTTCGATACCATGTCCACCTCTCTGTTTTCTAAAATGACATACTTTATAAAAATAATAAATAGCCCTATAGTGACATGACATTTACGGTAGGCAGAGGCTTGACTCTGCCCCTGGCATTGCTGACGTCCATGAGCTATACAGTAACTCACCATCAGGCGGGCAATATACTCGTATGCCTACAAGGCTAATAAAAAAATATGAGGATGGGTCAGTAAAACTTATAAATTACTAAAAGTAACTTTATGCCTTCGTGATTTAGAGCGAATATACAATGTTTCGGACTGTAAGTCCCTAATCGCCGTTATTATCTGCAAGGCGGCGCGATAAGTCCGGATCGACGACACCCGCTCCACACTTCCGCAACGACCGGACGTTCAAACGTTTTGTTTAGACATTTCGCTGACTTTGGTGAATTACCGTATATCGCGTCCGTGAAGCAGTAATGCGTTTCGGTTTGAAAGGCGAGGCAGCCGTTGTAACTATACTGAGATCTTAGAACTTATATCTCAAGTTGGGTGGCGCATTTACGTTGTAGATGTCTATGGGCTCAGGTGGGCTATGAGCTCGTCCACACATCTAAGCAATCAAAACAAAAACAATAATAACAATATTTTTATTGTTTTGTAGGTTTGACGACAAAAGGAAGATCTTTCACCGAGCGGGTGATATTGCTCGGTAGACCGACGGTCCGAATGTTGTTGTTCGGAACTTGTATATATGCAACCTTATCTTGAAAATGTCGTAAGCGAGATTCAGGCATCTGTCAAATACCTTGTGTTCTATGATGGTTACCCGCCACAGCTTCGGTGCACGGATGAGCTCACGACGGTGGTGGTACCTACCCGTGCGGACTCACAAGACGTCCTACCACCAATATCAGTATCAATGCTACATAATCAAAAATACTTTTTTTAATGTTCGCAAATTACTTTTACAACTATTTTAATTGGATTGTTCAAATATGGATCACGCGTCAAAAAAAAAAGAATGGACTAGTGGCTCATGACGTCACTGATATTAGAGAATGCGCGTGGGAAAGGGATAGCGAGATCTTCCAAGTACGCACTGCTGAACTCGGAAGCGTAACGAACAAAGAATTGTACTTACTATCTTTAAAATGTTAAATGCTATTTTATTCGCCAACTAATTTCGACACTGATTTTCATTGTATTTTTATGTAATTTTAGATCGTTTAATTAATGTCTGTAAATCTGTAAAGCTCATTATAATCAACGTCTATTGTAACAACCTAACATCAGGTGAGCCGTGAGCTCGTTCGCTCATCTAACGCAAAACACGACTAACGTAAAAATAATTTGACAACTTTCTTAAGTACTTTCTATGATATCGCAAAGCACGAATTAAATAAACAACAATTAACAATTTAATACCCCCAAGACAAGTTAACCTCCCAATCATTATTATCGACAATTAAACTGAGACTGATTCGATTAAATACAATCCTGTCCGTAACTTAGACGCGACTTGATAAACTCGATCGTGTTTGGTACAAAACGTTAAGACATAGCGAACTTGAAAAAAAGTTTGTTTTCTCACAACAATACCAAACACATAAGTGCCGCTTAATTTCAAATCAGAAAAGTTTTAAAATATTAAATTATATTTATAGTTATAGTTAGTTTAGTTTATCTATCTTCTATCTATATATATAAAAATGAATTGCTATTCGTTAGTCTCGCTAAAACTCGAGAACGGCTGGAGCGATTTGACTAATTTTGGTCTTGAATTATTTGTGGAAGTCCAGAGAAGGTTTAAAAGGTAGATAAATATAAAAATGCTCGGAATTAAATAAAAATAACAATTTTGATGTATCCCCGGTCGGATGGATTCTTTTTGTTTTTTTTTAAGTTTATTTTATACAAAAGCTTAGGTATTTTATTTATCGATTGAGGCACTACGAAGTCTGCCGGGTCAGCTAGTATTCAATAAATAACGAAGTATATCGAACTTTAATTAGTTAATTTAATAATGTTTATTCAAATAATAAAATTTTACTATATACATGTAGGATTTGTAAGATCGGAACGTATGAAAAGAGTGTAGAATGGAGCGTTAAGATGTGAGTGAGAGAGAACGGAATGAAAAGGAAAAGAGAATGACAGAGAAAAGAAAAGATGGCGAAGATGATTGAATGAGCAAGGCGTAATAAAAGTGTCGGTTGATTTTTAATTATTATGTATAATATAGAAGATTTTGGAAAAGAAGAATAAAAATGCAACAATGGAATAGTTTTATTTTATTCACAACACGTCTCGTTCCTTAACCAAGTATCTAAATTTAGTTATCCTTATAATAGGTAATATTACCAGCCCATTTAGTGATCCCTTTCCCATTCTAGCCCCCATTAGTAACTTCGCAACTGACATTCTTGCGATATCTCAAATTTAGTATTCGAATGAGCTAATTTTAAATCACAGATCTAATGTTACGTTTTATGTAACATCAAGTCGTTTATGCGTAAATATCTCAACATAATTGTATGATTGGAAACAAATATACGAATAAAGCACCGAGGCGCCACATGAGAACAATTATAAAACAATTCATATGACCTAGCAATCGATCGCATCGCTCCATTGTCTATTGATGTAATAACAGTTTTATGAATATCTAATAACAGACTCCATGCCGACCTACATACCAAGAATCACTGCTACAATTACACTAATATAGATTTTAAATTATTGTTCAATTACAAAAAGTGTTTTGAACTTTAATTATTATTCAGCTAACTGACTGATATCTTTAGTACCTCATAAAATTATCAATAAAGCGAAATCTGCAATTTTGAAGCCATAAATGCATACGATATCATAAATAGCGTACCAAACAATTTGGATGACAATAAAATAACCTAAAAAGTAATTGTTACTTTTTAGTTTAAACTTTGCATTTCAAAACACTATATGAATGGAGCTTGAAGAGCTTAAAACCACCAAGAGCAGATTCGGATGATCCGACAAGACGTATCTTACAGCGACGGCAGCTTTGTGTTGCCCCGTTGCCTGGGTCAGATATAATTTTCGGTGGCCACAAAAAGAGGGCTATTGGGTCACGCCGCTTTTTCAAAGTAGCGTTCTGACGCTTCCTTAAGATCTCTACGTAGCTGTTTTAGATTTAAGTCGTCTTGAAGATCTATCTTTCTCTGTTACTAGGAAATTATACAACAACTGCAATGAGTGTCATATGTGAGCAATCGTTGGGTGTGTTGTTGGGTTAACTAACTCATTGCTCTCGTCCGCAATGACGACTTTTTAGAAACAAGACCGACCAAGAAATTTCTTTTGTAATGACGTCATAATAACAGAGGTATTACAAAGCGTAGAAACGATAGCACGTTGTACAGCGCAGTATAATTGAGGTTCATTAGACTCATTGAATACGGCAAGCATCGCATCCTTAATCAAGTAATTGCCTTTATAAAGCCAACGTTAAGTGCCGCCGATGTTGTAGACGAAGAGCAAGGAAGGAAATTAACCGCCAAATTCGTGGGCTTCTCACCATTAGCCGTATCATTTTCCTTAGAAACTTTAGAAACTCAAGGTTTTTGTTTGGTATTCATTGAACACTGGAAGTCAGCCCTTACATTCCTTAGTCTTTGTATAAAATTCAACATACAATAAAAAAAATGGGTTTATATTTAATTCAATAATACGTCATCAATTTTAATTTGTAGTTATAATATTTTTTTTGCATTTTTTTTATTGCTTAGATGGGTGGACGAGTCCCAGCCCACCTGGTGTTAAGTGGGCACTGGAGCCCATAGACATCTACAACGCAAATGCGCCACCCACCTTGAGATATAAGTTCTAAGATCTCAGTACAGTTACAAAGGCAGCCCTCACCCTTCAAATCGAAACGCATTACTGCTTCACAGTAGAAACAGGCAGGTCGGTGGTACCTACCCGCGCGGACTTACAAGAGGTCCTACCACCAGTAAAGCTTGAAGCTTGTGATAAAAAAAAATCATTCAATCAATTGGAAGACGTACGTAATTGGCTCTTTGACTGCAAAATTCTTATACGAGTAATGCACGAATGATTCAGCCGAATTAAACAGATGACGGGTTACCGAGCGGTTTAATTAGAATTAATTAATTGACTTTTTGTAGGGTTTCGTTATGTGACTTTTTAATTGAACGACTTAATGTGCCAATTGAACGAATGTTACTAATAAAGTTATATGGACGGTTTTGATGAATTCGTTCCCGTTGCTCGTTTATACGATACGACACGATTTACCAGGTGGTTGGTGTGAGTTTTTTAACGTTGTCGATAGCGTAAAAGTTAATTCACATTTGTATGGAGTTGGAACGTTTGCCTCTAGGGGCACTGTTCCAACTGCATACAAATTTTAGTTAACTTTAACTCTATCGAGAACGTTAAAGAACTCGCACTGAACACACAGCAGTTAAGTGTTAACAAGTGCCCATAGACACCTTGGGACATCAGTTTCAATATGATTTCAATCAAAATGAAATTTTTGATTGAAATCATTAATGGCAGAATCTGGTGTACCTATTTCATTTTCCATTTTGTTAAAATCTTTACGTAATGCTAAATTAAACTTTTTCTAGAATATGATCGCGTGGATATTCAATAAATTAAAAAAATTGCAGTCTAGGATTTTAAAATTAAGGATCTTGCTGTTTAGAACAAAACAAAAACCATCTTATACCGTTTTCTCCAGTGTTGACGACTGTCACTCAGAACACTCAGTTGAGTGTTTTATGATGATGGTGATAATCAATCTTTTATTGGAACAACACATTAACAAAATCAAAATTAAAAACCAAATATTCTTACTGTGTATACGGCAATCACAAATTCCCTAACAATCAATATGTATCACTTACTGGTCGAAAGGAGAGAAGATGTGATGTGGGGGTCTTTGCTCCATCGCAGCTTCTCTGGAACCGGCGCTGCCGACCGACGGAGCTGGAGATGCACAGCTAGTTTCAGACCTAGTGAGATAAGAGCTGATAATACACAATAATTACAGTATTTCGTTAAATCAAAACCCAATTAAGTACCGTAATAAGACCGAATGATATGACTTGTTTGCTTCTATTGAAGTATGAAAATTAGATCGTGACTTAAATATTGGATTAGAGTCCACTTGGGGACATGTCAAGTTTATTATACTATGTATTATATATTTATTATACATATTGGAGGTCTGTGGGCTGATAAGAAGAAGAAAAAACAGGACATGTCAAACACATGTTCATGAATGCCAATGTGTAATAACTAACTCGCAGATATAAATTTGTATAATTAATTGGATTTGGTTATCGACTTGCAGGAAGCGCTGTAACGTAACGCTATTTATTGATGATTTTGTCCTTGTCGGCGGAACTACAACCGAGGTCTGAAAAGGGCTAGAGAATACTGGGAAAGATTGGCAAAATCTGTTTAACGATGTGATCCTACCAGCCTCCTCCGATTCCTGTTGCCTGGGGGATTCGAAACGACAGCGACGAGGAGTTAAAGAACAGGATAAACATGAACAGGTGAATGAGAAACAACCAGGGAATGCAAGTTGTGTATGAATCATGTCAATGAGTATGTGTATTGTGTTGGGTCCATAGAAAAATTGGATGATTGCATATTACCGAGAAGCCAGGGAATTGAAGAACGTGTAATTTAGAAACGTGTTAGAGTTACTTTAAAAGTAGCACAGGTGAAAGAACCTCCTAGTGTGGTAGGGGTGTCTTCAGAGGAAGCAGTTAGAGATTAGATAAATCGTGAAAAGTTTTATAAATATGCATGTGAATTGAAAGGAGTGAGACGCAGAAAGAAGTGTAAGACACGGTAAGGAAGACTGTAGACGGTTTGGATGGATTCTGTGAAGAGCGATGTGTATGAAAAAGGTGAGCATCACTGATGAAAGCTGTCAGAAAGAAGGTGTAAAAGCTGTGCCGATCTAACCTAGAGTCATATAGCTTAGAAAAAGAAGACTACTGGTGACTATGGTTTCCACTTAGCTTCAATTAGATCGCAAGCTCGCCAACCTAAGTTCCAGTGTGGAGATAGCCATCATACAATACAAGATATTTGACAGATGCCTGAATCTCGCTTACGACATTTTCAAGATAAGCTTGCATATATACAAGTTCCAAACAACGACATTTGGGTCGTTGTTGTCCAGCGAGCAATATCACCCGCTCGGTGGTAGATCTTCTCTTTATCGTTAAGTATTCCACACTCAGTTTAAATCAATTAAAAAAAACTCAACATACCACGATGAAATATATGGGGGGTTTTAATTTGTTATATCTTTAGCCTACCTTTCAAGTCTAGGTGATCTGTTAGGGGAACGTGTTGGCGATCGACGCGGAGAGCCGGGGGTGACCGGGGGGGATGCGCGGGGTGACGCCGCCGCAGACACGGGAGACGCCTCTGCAGACCCTCGAGACATTCCGCATTCCGACGACCCCTACAAATTTGTTAAAGGATTTTAGAGATTGATTCATGATTTAACAATATTTTACAAATTATTGCCCTTGTAGGCAGACGAGCGCACGGCCCACCTGATGGTGAGTAGTTACCGTCGCCCATGGACTTCAGCAATGCCAGGGGCAGAGCCAAGCTGCTGCCTACCGCAATTTCAGAAGTTTCGAATACTCATAGTTCAGTCACCGTTGCCTTTCTATTTAAAAAAAACTATTATTACCTTATCATCAGCGGGGTCTCTCTTCGTTAGCACATCAGCTCCTTCTCGCTTTCTTTGTTCTTCTTTCAATCGTTCAGCTTTCCTCCATTTTGCTCGACGATTCTGGAACCAGACCTGGTAACAACATTAAATAGTTGGTATTAACTTATGATACCGAAACGACAATAGGCTGCTGTTCATTCTTAATTGCGTCGATTCCCTTAATTATTCCTCAGTCGTGGCCCTCTGACACAGTGCTTCCTACATCTGCTCTGACTTTCAACGCCATGAGCCGTTGAATATTGAGCCCCGTCCGGATCTTGTCTCGTATGCCCATGGGATTCCTTTTTCCCGCCCCTGGGTCTCTATCTTAATTATCGATCACCGAAAAAAAATTACCAAACCAAAAATAAATACGTAAGTTTCAATAATTTTATAATTTATGAACCCGCATTCGAATGCAAAAGTGAATGCTCTTTCAGTCCGCAGAACAGCTTCTATATTTTTTTCCTACCTAAGCTGATAGCCTTTAGAGGCTATTTCAGCGTAACCTTAACTAGCAGGTGAGCTCACGGGGCGCAAACCTGACGACGTTGCTAACACGAACCCTAACAAGAGCCGTGCTTCGCAGAATCTGCCACTAGATCGAAAACGCGACCCACTGATAGGATCCGGCGAGAAACTCAGTGGGCTGTGTCTGTGGGTTAATTTACTCGTCGAGCAAGCGACGGGTTCGACGACAACGATGACCGGTGCTTGAGGTACCTAAAAGCACCGTTAGTGGATCAGGAGGATCCGAAATGACGTGTTTTGGGCGACGTCGACTGCTTTCCATTCTGTCCGCAGGATCGGGAATGGCAGAAAACTGCGAATCCCGTAACCTGTTTATTCAACGTGTTACATTGCGTGTGTCTTAAAGAACATCTGTGATTCACTAACATAGTTTCGATCGCCATTTTTTGTTGTTCTTTAAGAAGCTTGGCTTACCGTTATTACTAGTTACAGTTTCCTTAGAAAACACGAATGAAAACTGAGCTATTTTTTGCAGGTTCAACGGCCTCGTCCCTTTAATAATAATATCTTATCCTAATAATAGTGTTAACCGTCACCATAGAGTACATTTATCCCTAGTACCCCAACTGTCAACACTAGAAGCTTTAATACCATGCTATTACCACCCCAATCTCGTTTGTTATAACTCAGAAATTACCCATTACTCTATTAAAGGGTCTCTATTAGACCAATCATAAAAAACCATAGACCGGTTTTAAATATTAGACACCACAGCTCTATTTTAATGGTCAACAAAATACCAAACTAAAAGACATCTCACTGCATACAAAATGTGGAGGAACAGGTATCAATTTAGCGGACATATAACATCAAAAATAGAAAGACCTCTGATTTCGTTAGAAATTCTTGCTACGTAGAATCGGTTTACTTGGTTATTTAGCTTATCCGTAACAATAAGGGTGGTTGCATTTGTCTGAAAAATTGCACAATGAATTTTGTTACGTTCTCACAATGGCAAAGAGTAATTTATCTATAAACAGATATGAACACAACAATTTTAAAAATTCTATCGATCTATTGATTAGTAAATTTACTATTGGAAAAATATTTTAGTGAATATACCGCCCTCTCGCGATCACATCATCTTAATCGGATATAGAAGATAAAAAACCCCTTTTGATCATTTAATCGGATTCTATCAACGGCAGTGTTAGTTTCTACGCGAATCATCGGTCTAAATTCGATGACGTCGGAGACTATGACGTAAGCCCTCTGACCTGCTGTATTAGTAGGTGTTGGAACTATAAGTTCACACCACGTTTATCTATCAGACACCAATATAAGACATGTGACGGAGGAATTTTATAAAAAAACTGGTGTGTATCTCAAATTTTGTTGATTAGCGTAGCTGGAACCCGCAACTACTACAGGTGATTGAAAAAATGTATCTTAAATCAGTGTGCGTCTATTGAATATAGACCTCCAGAACGATTACTTCTTAACGAGCAGTTTGTTCGTGTGTCCTTTCATCCGATTCATTTATTTGGTAAAAGACCATTTTTAGCCCCAGCATTAGAGTGCGTCATTGCTTCGCTGCAGGCAGGACGGTGCGAGCAAGGCCCCGCGGTGTGATACTGCGCTTTTGTATCACTTCCCCAGGTAGGCCTTTGGCGAGTAGAGGGAACCAGTTATAGAAGTGAGAAGTACACTACCAGAACTACTTTGAAGTCGTCGTGGCCTAAAGGACGAAGTCGTCGTGGCCTAAAGAATAAGACGTCCGGTGCATTCGTGTTGAGCGATGCACCGGTGCTCGAATCTCAGGCGGGTACCAATTTTTCTAATGAAATACGTACTCGACAAATGTTCACGATTGACTTCCACGGTGAAGGAATAGCATCGTGTATAAAAATCAAACCCGCACAATTATAATTTGCGTAATTACTGATGGCAGGACCTCTTGTGAGTCCGCACGGGTAGGTACCACCACCCTGCCTATTTCTGCCGTGAAGCAGTAATGCGTTTCGGTCGTCTATATCTATATCTATACTAACATTATAAAGAGGAAAGATTTGTTTGTTTGTTTGTTTCGAATAGGCTCCGAAACTACTGGACCGATTTGAAAAATTCTTTTTCCATTAGAAGCCGACATTGTCCCTGATGAACATAGGCTACTTTTTTTATTTTGTTTTTATTTTTTATTTTTTGGTTTCATGTGTGTTTTAATGTTTCCGAAGCGAAGCGAGGGTGGGTCGCTAGTTGTAACTATACTTGAGACCTTAGAACTTATATCTCAAGGTGGGTGGCCCATTTACGTTGTAGATATCTATAGGCTCCAGTAACCACTTAACAGCAGGTGGACTGTGAGTTCGTCCACCCATCTAAGCAATAAATAAATAAAAAATCGATGGATGTAACGTGATGGGTTTTTTGTGAGCGCACATATCTCTTGATTCCAACTATTCCTCTCGTAACACAGTCATAAGTTCCCATTGAACGATGGAGAAATAGTTAATGCGAATGTAGCTTTGACCTTCATGTCTTAAGGTGGGTGTCAGCAGTAACAGGTAATTCACACATCAACTACATAATAGAATAACATCCACTCTCACTTCTTTGCCGGTCCAAGGATCGAACGGCCCCTTAACACCGCTGCACTACTAATTCCTTTAAAATTATTATTTTAACGAAATTATTCCAACGATAATCCCGCCATAATCCGACGGGCCCTAATAGTTTTCGTATTTCAAAGGGTAACATTAATATTTCAAAATTTCTCAACAACATCCCCTAGAGTGTTTCATTCTATGGTATACAGAATATCTGTGGTATTCATATATGTTTTTTGTCAATGTATCTGATGATGTTAGGATTTGTCCGGTGAACAAGTTATTGAAAGTACAGACCTTCGTACCGACGAGGCCTGATTGAACCCCGACAAGAAATCAATGACGGATCACATTGCTTAATAGGATCACAGGTTTTGATCTGAAGCGCTGAATAGGTGTTATTTCAATGGGATATTGAGTTTACATCGCAGGATACCGGTAGCTAGGATCAGGCAACCAAAGTTACTTCAAATTTAAACATGCGTGTATCATATTGCTTTGTAATACCTTTATAATATAACAGTTATAAAATTTACGAGCACCACCCTGTTAATGAGACAAACACTCGAACAAAACCAACAAAACATTATCAAAAACGATTCAACCCCCGCTGATACGCGCAGCCTTTAAACACATGTTAACATACGACTTGTTACTTTCGACTTACATTAGACAATTCATTTGAGCTCCGGCAGCATCAAAATGACCCTTATTTCATTACCCGTAAAGATCCGTAATGAATCTTTGCCCGGTCAATTTATATTGGACATGTTCATTATAAAGGGTGTTACCCAGCAGGGGTTCAGTAATTACCTTCTGTGCGCTGTAATAGACGAGTGCTTGCGTTGTTCAAGAGTGTTCTCGGTTGTTAAATAATAACAAATATTGTTCATTCATGTTTTGCGTGTAATGATCGGGAGTGGCAAGATTTAATTGTTCTCTTTTGTAGTGGTTACTTGGAAAAGAAAGTTATTGTTGATGAACAAATTGTTTTCTGAATACAGACATTGATTTGTAATAATAAATAATAAATAAATATTTACTAACTATCACGCCACGTTAACTGGTCCCGTGATAAGTTCGTAAAGAACTTGTGTTACAGATAACGGAAATAAATGTAAGATTTTTATTATACACATACATATATTTAATATACATCCATAACCCTGGAAAAGACATTTATATTTATCATACAAATATCTTCCCTTGGCGGGATTCGAACCCGCGACCCCCTTGTGTAGTGACCATGTCACTTACCACTACACCAGACGGCCGTTAACTGTCTATTCGTTTGTTTGTATACAAATTTGTCAATCAATTTTAAGTTGACTTTCTGATGAGGATTGAAACATCGCTCTGGAACGAGTTCATGATTTTCACACAACAAGACATAAAATTAGGTTTATTTTTATGATTATACGCAGATGAACTATTGTATCACAAGATCCACAGTAAGCACAATATCTTATAACATTACATCGTTCTTTCGATCGTATTGGAATCCATAGATACAATCCACTGAGTTTCTGGCCGGATTCTCTCAGTGGGTCGCGATGCGATAGTAAATTCAGCAAGGCACTGCTCTTACTAGGATCAGTGTTTGTAATTCTCACAGGCGTCCGTGAGCTCGCCTATAAAATCAGAACTTGCAGTTACTTAGCTGAAATCGGCATTGCTACCAAACAGTTCGCTTAGAACACGTCGAAATCAAAATTCTAGCAAGAATTACGAGGATTTAGATAAACTCCATTTGATTCCTACTTTTTTTTATTTCCAAGTGAATTTGATGCCTATTCACGCCACGAAATCTTTAAATCTTAGCGGTATTGTTCATTTCATTTCATTTTTGATCAAATGGAAAAAAATATTGTTCGTTATCCGATGTATTATAGTATGGTATAAGCGTCCGACCATTCTTAGCATCATTGTAACAGATTTACCCAAAGTTGACCAAGTCGCATTTACTATGATAAAAAGTAGATTATGTGTTAATCTATGGTATAAACTTTACACGGT